AAACACATCTGCAAATACCCACGCACAGACATAGACACATATGTAAAAATAAGTCTTTTGTCTTTTCTTTTTAAAGAAAAGGCTAACGGCCCTAGAAGAGGCATTGCCTTGTCTCTAGCACTGAGACTCAAACCCAGGCCTCCCTCATGATGTCAGTGCTGTGCTAACGGTCATATCTCCACCCCTAGAAACGCTCTGATCCGACAGTAGGGCAGCTGGCACAGTGTATGGCATTTTATTTTTTATTTTATTTTATTTTTTGGTTTTTCAAGACAGGGTTTCTCTGTAGCTTTGGAACCTGTCCTAGAACTAGTTCTTGTAGACCAGGCTGGCCTCAAACTCACAAAGATCCTCTTGCCTCTGCTTCCCGAGTGCTGGGATTAAAGGCATGCACCACCACTGCCCGGCTTGTGTGTGGCATTTTAATGAATGATTCTGCTTTTAAAGAAATTTTGTTTTTTGAGTCAGTTTTATATGTAGCTTGGCTTAGGACTCACTACATAGCCCAGGCTAGTCTCAAATTTCCATCAATCTGCCTTGCCAGTGCCAGGGTTCCAAGACTGAGCCACTGATGCTTGGTTTATTTGGAGTTATTAATCTGAACCATTGGTAAAAACTTAAACATGAAATATAATAAAGTTAGAGCCAGTAAACCTTATTAAAGGTACAGTTTCAGGGCTGGGGGACAGAGCGGATGGCTCAGCGGGCAAAGTGCTACAGAGGCATGAGGACCCAAGGTTTCTTAGTCCCCATGTAAAAGCAGGCAACACACATCCATACAGCTCGTACTGGAAGTACAGACAGACAGATCCAGACTCACTGGCCAGTCAGGCTTTGAGTGAGCTCCAGGTTCAGCGAGACCTTGTCTCAAAAGGTACCGTAGAAGGCCAGGCGGTGGTGGTGCACACCTTTAATCCCAGCACTCAGGAGACAGAGGCAGGTGGATCTCTGTGAGTTTGAGGCCAGCCTGGTCTACAAGAGCTAGTTGCAGGACAGGCTCCAAAGCTACAGAGAAAACCTGTCTCGAAAAACCAAAAACAAAAAGTACAGTGGAGAGTGACAGAGGAAGACAAGGGAGGTTGACCTCTAGCCTTTTTATATGGCGATACATGGTCAAGTACAATTCCCTCTATGCACATAAACACACACAACGGGGGATGGGGGGGGGAGAGAGGAAGGTTCTTTACTTTCACCTAAGAGCTGGTAGTTCTCAGTGAGTTCAAGGTCAGCCTGGTCTACCAGGTGAGATCCAGGACAGCCAGAGTTATGAAGTGAGACCCTGTCTGGAGGTGTAGTGGGGAGAAAAAAAACATACTTCTATGTTAGGAAAGGAAGTATTTAATTATTATTTTATTTTTGTTTTTTTTTTTTCCAGACAGGGTTTCTCTGTATTGTCCTGACTGTCCTGGAACTCACTCTGTAGTACAGGCTGGCCTCGAACTCACAGAGATCTTCCTGCCTCTGCCTCCCATGTGCTGGGATTAAAGGGGTGTGCTAGCAGCAACCAGTTATTTTCTTTTTATATGTGAGTGTTTTGATTGCATGCATGTATGTATGTATGTATATATGTATGTATGTATGTACATGACCTACATGCAGTCCCTGAAGAGGCCAGAAGGTGGCATTGGGTTGTACAGAACTACTTATAGATGGTGTGAGCTCCCATGTGGGTTCTGGAAACTGAATCTGAGTCTTCTACAAGGGCAGACATTGTTCATAATGTCTGAGCCATCTCTTTAATCCCATGGGGAGGACTCTTAATATAAATAACACCTTTGTTGCAGTAGGATAGTGGAAGCTGGCACGCGCCAGTCCACAGCCATGACTGTTCCTAATCCACGTGCACGCTATAACATAGTAACTAGGATATGCATACAACAGACAGTAAAGCTTTGGTGGTGTCAAGGAAGAACTGTGCTATATCCTCTACACTGTTTTTTTTTTTATTTATTATGTATACAATATTCTGTCTGTGTGTATACATGCAGGCCAGAAGAGGGCACCAGACCCCATTACAGATGGTTGTGAGCCACCATGTGGTTGCTGGGAATTGAACTCAGGACCTTTGGAAGAGCAGGCAATGCTCTTAACCTCTGAGCCATCTCTCCAGCCCTCTCTACACTGTTTTGTTTTTCACCCAGGTTATAAGTTACAAGATAATCTGTTGAGAAATGGAATAGTTTATGAAATAAGGTTGAGGAAATTTACCTCCAAGAAGAGAGAAAGGTGGTAGTGCCTCTTAGAGAAACCAACATCTATGCTCTGGAGAGGGTTTTTCTTTCTCCCTTAACATTTCTGCTTGAGCTTATATTAAAATTTCATCGATAATACCCCAGCTTGGGCGGGAAATATGGCTCATCCTCTGAAGGCACTCTTAGTTCTTGTTGGGGTGACAGAGTTGGGTTTTTTTGGGCGGGGAGTGTGGGAGGGGTTGAGACACAGTCTCACTATGTAGCTCTGGCTGTCCTGGAACTTATTGCATAGACCAGGTTGGCTTTAAACTCATCTGTCTCTGCCTCCCAAGTGGTGGGATTAAAGACATGCTCTGCTACACTGGGGTACACGGCAACTCCTAGCAAACAAACAAGCTTTGCTTGAAAAATTGAGTTTGAGGACACTTCTGAGTTTTTATTCTGTAAATGGCAATGAGCAGGAAGTATTGTAGGCTTCAGGGTTCAGGACGATACACACATGTGGAGCGTCATTTATTCATCTAGGGTCGTTTTCGGGTGGTGACCACGTTCATTTCAGAGGAAATGAACTTAGGTAAAAGAACCCTAATGGGAGGTAGTAATGGCACACACCTTTCATCCTATCACTCAGGAGGCAGAGGAGGGAGGATCACTGAGTTTGAGGCCAGCCTGGTCTGTTATGCCCAGATCACAGAGTCCTCCCAAAACAGGACTAGGAGACCGAGTCCTGTTTGTAAAAGCTAAGAGCCTTTATTCTTATGTGAGTTCAAACTCGGGCCCTCTGTGTGTCCAATGTATAGGAGTGATCAGAGAGCCCTGAGCTCAGTTGGGTTGGGAATTTTATAATAACAGAGGTTGGGGTAAGGGACTTCTAAGGTTCAGGACCCCTGATTGGCTGACATTTATCTAGGGGTGTCCTGGTGAAAACTGATGGGTGTGTGCTGGCAGGTCATCCTTGTAATTCCAGTCTCTGGCCTCCGTCTTTGGAGGTCCCTCCTCTTTGACCCTCGAACCTTGACCCCTCCCCAGGAAAGGTCAAGACCACTCCCACAGGCTATTTAAACTGCTTCCCCAGAAAATAAACGCGTGGTTTTCCCTCTTCCTCTGGGCTGGGCAGCTCCCATTTCCCTTAGGGGCCTCCAGGGAGCAGGTGTCTAATTAAACCTGGATATCTTTTAATTTGATCTGATTTGGTTTGATTGGGATTATTTTGCATTGGAGGAGTGGCTCGGTTAGGAAATATTCCTAACAATCCTATCTACATGGTTGGAAGTTAGGAATTTCCTTCGAAAGGTCTGTTTCTGGGTGGTGCCTGGGTGGACTGTTTGTGGTCTTTCTTGGAATTAGGTTTACCTTAGGGTAAGCTACTGAGACTCTGGCCTCTATTGAGCTTGTCATGGCTGGGTTCTATAGTCTACAGACAGAGTTCCAGGACAGCCAGGACTACATAAAGAAGCCCTGACTCAAAAAGCCAAAACCCAACAACAATAAAAACAAAAACCTATGTGTAGTCTGATGAGGTTGTTAATCATGGCATATGAAAGAACTCCGGGGTGGGGGAGGGGAAATGTAAAGATGTACCAATATGGAGTTAGAAATGAGAACAGGCTCTTTGGCATATTTTGGTGTCACGGAAGTTTAAAGAAAGTCAGCCTCGGGAGATAATATTCTTGCTTAGAAAAAGTTGGAAGATAAACTTTGGACAGTGTATTATACTATGACCTTTGTAATAAATAACCCAAGATAATGTGTTAACGTTTAGTCGAGATTTAAATTCCTGAGCTGATTAAAGGTCTAAAAATGTTTTAATATTAGTTCTGGAGTCCGTACTGAAGAATTGCGTGGCTTAAAAAAAAAAATCACTTATTACTGCCCAAATTTGCAGACCGATACAGAATTAAGTACGAACTAATAAAACAGGCAAGCAAACAAACAACAGCAAGACAAAATCTCCAACAATTCAACTTTAAGTCCAGGCCTCAAGTAGGCAGACTGGTTTAGGCTGACTCTAGCCTGTCTCAACCACACAATGCGGCGGAGCCTTTGAAGGCTGGGAGGTCACGATGGAGGTGCAGTTTCTGAAAGATAAATCTGGCTGTGTGTGCGAGTGAACGGGGACGGGAGGGGGGCAGAAAGGAGACTGAAGTAGGGTTCATTTGCAGCTACCGCCACGTCAAGTTGCTGGAGGAACATGGTTAAAAAAAAATCAGAAAAGAACAGGAGGGGTCGGGTGAATGAGAAAGGGCAAGGTCTGTAGAGGCGGCTTGACTTTTCCGTCCTTAGAGCTGTCCGGAGGATCGGGTGCTGATAGCCCCCTGGGGCGTGTCGGAGCAGGGTCCGCCAGGTTGTCCTCAGTCCCAATTGCCCCTCCTCATTCCGTGCTGGCGTCCCCAGGAGCCCCCACCCCCTCGGCTACGGCACCGCCCTCCTTCGGGTTCCTTCCCCTCCCCTTCCCGTGGGGCGCCGACTCGCCCAGCTGCCACGTCTCACTGATGACATCAACACAGTCCGCTCGGCCTTAGCCAATCCGCTAGGGGGAGTCCGAGCGAAGTCCTAGCCAGCAAGCCAGCGGGGAGGGGACAGGAAGGGCGGGGTGTGGGGTGAGGGAATGGGGACGGGGCGGGCGACAAGCTCGCGAGTGCGCATGCGTACCGTGTGCGGGGCCTAGTGGGAAACTGAGTGCAAGCTGTCCTCGGCCCCGTCAGGCTGTCCGGGCGTGCGGTGCGCTCACGACTCAGTTTCCCGTCGTGCCGCGCGACGCGGCCGCCCTCTGGGCCGCGACAGGCCCCTTGGCCTAGGCTTCCCTAGTTCCTGGTTCGCCGGCGGCCATTTTGGGTGGAAGCGATCACTGAGTGGTGGCGGCTGCTGATTGTGTTCCAAGGGTCGGAGCGGGGTCGACGTTTGTTCTACCGGAACAGCTTAGCGCACTCCTTCCCTTCCTTAACCCGTGGCGCGGAGAGTCGGGGCGGCGGCTGCGTCAGCAAGGGCGGTGGCGGCGGCGGCAGCTGCAGTGACATGTCCAGCATGAATCCCGAATAGTGAGTGCAGGCGAGCCGGGGCTGGCCGGGGGTGAGGGCGTCCGGCCGCGGGGTGAAGGCCGCCGGGAGGCTCGCTAGGCGGCCGTGGGAAGGTCGGCCGGGCGGGCGAGTGAGGCGGAGCAGCCCGAGGGCCCCATTGTCTGCCGGCCGAGGGCCGCGGCGGGGAGGGGTCGGGGCGCCGCCGGCGGGGAGCTGCTGGGTGTCGTGGCCGGGCGTTGGGGAGTCGGCCTCGGACGGCGGCCAGGAGGGGCGCGTCTCGGGGAGGCAGTGACGGCTGGAGGAGGACTTGTTTTTAAGGGAGGTAGGTGGGAGAGCTCTGCTAGAGGGCACTGTCAGACCCTGCGCCGGCTCTGCGGAGCTGTCAGCCCTGGCAGGGAGGAAACCACCAGCTTTAGGTGTAAATCCTGAGCTTGTTTCAGCTCTCTCCCCGGCAGGTGTCAGGCAGTACGGATGCTCCTCGGGACTGCGTGGGCTGGGGGGAATGAGGAGATGGCGAGAAGCTATTTCAATGTTCAGCTTCCTTTTGGGCTCGTCTCCTGGAAGAGTTCTTGAAGAACTGTGAGCCGTGGTCCTTCCAAAATCCTGAGCATTTGTGAAATGTTTTAGAGGACACTTAAGTCTCCCAGTCACCTTTTGTCTGCAGTACGTCAACAACAATAACAAAAAACTAAAATAAAAAATGTCTTTCCGGTACCACCAAATTTAAAGTGTGCGTTCACTGACAAATTGGAAAAGAAACGAGTGGGACCTTTGATAGAGCTGTAGGTTTTAGATTACCTGGTTGAAAGCCTGCAGATAGGGAATGAGGTTCCATGACGTGTCATGAAAAGTTAATGCATTCCTTTTTCTTGCTTACTCAAGAAGTCACAATAGCAGAAGTGACACACCTGGCACCTTTCATGGGAGCGGGTGATCTCTTTTCTTGAGTAGATTTTGTTGGGCTCTCCTGAACGGCGTCTCAAGACCTCCTATGGTTTCCATGTATGAAAGTCAATAGCTTGAGGAAATGTCTTTTTTTTTCTCTTTAGTGTAAGAAATCTTTAAGGGAGAGGGATTCCCTTTCTTTGATAAGAGAAATCAGTTTTGCCCTAAAAGCTGAATTTCTTTGTTGCTTTGGTCAGTTCCTGCTGTTTCCCCGTGAAAGGTCCATCCATCAGTTTAGCTGACTTGTCGTCATGTGGGTGTCACATGGCTCTTGCAAAATGCATTCTGAGTTCAGATTTTGTAAGACTGTGGTTTAATGCTGAAACGTTCTTTTTCATTTGTGCTAAGCAGAAGTCTTGGTCTCTCGGTAGGATTTTACACTTTAATTAATTTGATTGTGTGTGTGTGATGCACGTGATTACAGGTGGGTGCCACAGCACTTGTGTGAAGTGTCAGGGACAGCTTCTGGGAGTTGGCTCTTCCTTCCTTTGCGACTCCTGGGGACTGAACTCAGACAAGCACTCTAACTGTGGAGCCACCTCACCAGCCCAGGCCTTTGTGCTTCTTGAAGAAGTTTGGAACAGTTCATATAGTGACACACTGCTGTGTTGGCAGCCCCCCCCCCCCAGTCATGGACTCTGCAGGATAAAATTTGTTTAGTTGAGCAGAGTTTAATTGGGGTTCCTAGTTAATTTTCCTGGCATCAGTAAAGAGCATGGGTTTGCTAGCTTAGGGAGGTTTGTAAACCTGTACTATTGGAGGAGTTTCCTGTATTTGTTCCACATATATTTAGATAAAGTGCATGCATGTGCTTGAGGTTAGAGAGTGGTTCTCAAGCCTTCTAAACGACCCTTTAATTCAATTGTTATGGTGACCCCAACCATAAAATGAGTTTGGTTGCTACTTCGTGCACCACTGTTATGAATGGTAGGGTCACGACCCACAGATCGAGAACCCCTGGTGTAGCGGCATCCCCTGGAGCTGGAGTTACAAGCAGTTGTGAGCCCCTGATGTAGGTACCGGGAATGGAACTCAAGTTTTCTGTAAGAACAGTACATGCTCTTAACCACTGAACAATCTCTCTAGTCTATGTTACTTACATTTTTTAATACTTAAGATGAACTCGATGATAAAATTTGATGTTACTCAGACTTTTAATTTGTTTCTCCTTTTGTAAAGCAGTATATAAAAAAGTCATTTTTACTACCTATTAAGGTAGTGGTGTGGCTCACGAGTTTGTAAAAACTTGGACAGCTATCCAGAGCACATTGTAGGTGGTGTAAATCATTTTTAAGTAAGCATTTTAGTTGTGCTGGGACTTAGGAGTGTAAGCCTTAACCTCAAGAGGCCTGTAACATAATATACAAACTAGATTTTATACATGTCAAATCTAGTAGAGACAGCTGCATGAATCAGAGCAGTGTGATTTCAGGGTCGAGTCACTTGTTGTGGTTGGCTGCTTTGGAAGACTATTGTAGGAGAGACGTGTAAGAAAATGACCAGTGCATCAGTGGGCTCGCTCAGCCGCCACCTTGGTGAGTTCCATCCCTGGGACCTACAAGGTGGAAGGAGAGAACTGACTCCTGCAGATTGTCCTCTGCTCTCCACATATGTGTCGTTCCCCCACCCCAAGAATCTAAATTAACAGTGTGAAAACAAGAGACCCGAGAAAGCTATTAGGACAGAAGTGAGCCAGGGAAGACTTTTCAAGAGGAAGAGGGGAAGAGGAATGGCTAGTAAATAAATGGCAAGAAATTTTTTTCACCCCTTTTCTGAGTTTTGAGACAAGATTTCATTGTGTTATAGTCCTGGCTATCCTAAAACATGCTGTGTGGATGAGACTGGCCTTGTATTTGTCCCAGTCTCCCTGTTTCTGCCTCCCAAGTGCTGACGTTACAGGTTAGTGTCACCATGCCCTGGATGAACAATCATTTAGTCATTCTTTCTTTTGAGGTCTCAAATATGTCAATACCTGGCCTTTATTTACATCTTAGACTGTATAATAAAATAGTCCAGGAGTTTGGGGAAAGGATTTATGAAACTTGCATAAGATGAGAGACAGTGATAGATATTTTGTTGGTGGATATCACAGGTGCAACCAGTACACCCATAATGATTAAGTTATTATCTGTCTCATTGCTCTGTGTATGTGTGTTTATGAAATGAATAAAAAATCAATTTTTACAGCACTCGGGAAGCAGAGACAGGCAGATCTGTGAATTCGAGGCGAGCCTGGTCTACCAGAGCTAGTTCCAGGACAGCCAAGACTTTTACACAGAGAAACCATGTGTCGTAACACCCCCCTCCCCCATTCAGTTTTTAGGCTGACTTGGGAGAAGTACAGGAATCAAGGGTAATGACTGAGTCAATTGGATTTCAGCTAAACAAAACCCACTGAAAGTGTGATCCTAACATTGGAAGTGGGTGGAAGGATTGGAACTTACTCTTTCCTGGAGATCTGAAGAAAGGCTCGACTTTATTACAGTTAGTATTTTGTGTGTGGGGAGGGCACATGAATGCCGCAGTGCGTGTGGAGGTTAGAGGGCAGCTCGCAGGAATTGGCTCTTCTACAGAAGTCCTGGGGAGCGGACTGTAAGCGCTCAACTGCGGCCGAGATTTGATCTTCACAGATAGGTAGTGAAGTAGGCAGTAATTATTACACCACAGTGATTGAAAATGCTAAACAGTACCAGGGGTGGAGGGGCTTGTACTCTGAGCACTTGAGGCAGAGGCAGGAGGGTCACTGAAGGTTTAGGCCACACTGGCCTACATTAGTGAATTAGTGAGAGAGGGAGAGAGCGCTAGTGCTGCACATGCACTTAGATATTTCTGTGTGTCACAGAATGTGGTTTGTGGAGGACAGCCTGTTGAGAGTAACTTCTCTCCTTCTGCCATGTGGGTCCCAGGGATTGGACTCAAGTCATTAGGCTTGTTTGATTGTTACAGTGGCAAAATAGCAAAGCATGGTGCCTCGTGTGTGGAATTCCAGCACTTGGGAGGTGGAGGTCGGAGGACTGCCTGGAGTCCGAGACTAACCTGGGCTACATAGTGAATTCCAGACCAGCCTGGACTACATAAGGTTTTGTTTCAAAAAGGTAAACCAAACCAAACCTCACTGTAGACAAGGATGCTTGAATTCTTGACTCAGATTACAAGTGAGCAGCACCTTTCCTGGCTTCTGCAGAGCAAGTCAGTGATGCTGTTCTTCTCTCCCTCCCTCCTACACTTCAAACCAAGACTCCAAGTTCTCTGAACATGTTACTTTTCTCTAATGGTCAGAGCTGTTTCAAGTAAGCAGCCCCTTCTCCCCCTTGTGTTTGAAAATAAAGCAAAGTTAATGTTATCTGTCATGCCATTATATTAGTACCATTCTTGGCTTTCATGTAGTTTGTTATTTTTGTCTTTATTGTTGTGTGTGTTGCTGGTAATCAAACCCAGGGCTTGGCACATGCCAACCAGAAGTCCTCTGTCACTCTTTACTCCAACCATTCTAGAAAAATTGGAGGAAGAAGAGTAATTAGTTCTCTTACTGTGTAGAGTATTATTTTTAAGTGTCTAGAGAATCAGCTCTGTAGTCATCGGGTAGAATCTTCACAGAATGTTAGGCTTGCAAATCCCAGTCCCAGGAAGTGGAAGCAGGAGGAGCCAGAGTGGAAGGGCTGTCTTGGCTCAAGGGCTGCCTGGTTATAGACTTGGTTTAGAGAGGGGTAGAGGAGAAAGGGAGACGGGACTTAAAAGAACAAAAACCTGGTTGCCATTATGTGAGCTCTTTTAAATTTGACTTAGTTTTTCATTACTCTATGTCTGAATTTTACTTTCGAGTTTTTGTAAGAAACACTGGCAGATTGCCCTCTCTCCCTTTTCAGAAGGGAGTGGTCAGCCTGTTCCTGTTTTCCTGTAGAAGCTGGTACTGAACTTTCTGCTTAGATACCTAGACTATGACTAAAACTTTTAAAATGAGTATTTTATGCTTATGGGTGTTTGGCCTTCATGTGTGTCTGTGTACCTAATGCATGCCTGGTGCCAGAGGAAGTCAGTAGAGGAATTTGAATCTTCTGGAACTGGAGTTGACGGAA